CGGACCCTGATTGGAAGCTGAAGTGGTATCTCAAGTCTGACTCCTCTCCCACCCATTCTGTTTGTGGTTGTTGAAAACGATTACTCTTCCTGCTAATTAGTTCAATGAGCAAGTGGTTTGGATATGTCCGAGTATACTCGCACTTTTTCAAGCGAGGTCATTCAAATGCAAGCTGATTCAGACTTGAAACGAGCATTTCAATTTCGAAACAGAGGGCACAAGTGCGAGTTAATTCGGTCTTATCCACTAAACAGCAAGAAATTTAGGGGCGTGGTTAGGTCTGGTGCCAATAAATCCGCACTTCAAACGAGCATCTCAATTTCGCCGTGCAATAAGAAATTACTTTCGTGGTTGGTTCAGTGGCGAGTTAATTCGAAAATAGAAAAGGACTTCATTTTTTTGGGCCGAGAAGAGACGCGACTACACTGCTCGAGTGCTTCGATTTCGAGACTGTAAGTACAAGTGCGAGTTAATTTTGACTTATCGACTAAAGAGTAACAAATTTGGGGGGATGGTTGGTTCAAGAGCAAATAAATTCGCACTTGCAAACGAGCATTTCCATTACGAAACAGGGGGTACAAAGTGCGAGTTAATTCTGACTTATCGACTAAACAGTAATAAATTTAGGGGGCTGGTTGGTTCAAGAGCGAATAAATTCACACTTGCATACGAGCATTTCCATGACGAACTGCGGGTACAAGTGCGAGTTGTTTCCGACTTGTTCTGCGTGTAGTACGAACCACAGATCGTCGCAAGAGAGAAATGGGGAAAGATGGCGTAGTATTTTTTAAGATGGAGAAACATTACGAAACGATGGGCAGACGGCGTACCGATGAAAATAGATGGAGAGAGATTACGCACCGATTGAGAGAGATTGCGCACCAAGAGAGATAGATGGAGTTACAGTCTTCCCCCGAATACAACGTGCGGTCATTACAGCTGAATTCGGGGCATCTTTCAGTCTAAAGACAACTATAATGAACGTGCGTTGTATATTCCGGGGAAGAGGGTAGATGGCGCAGCGAGGGATAGAGATTGCGCACCGATGGAGAAAGATGGCGCAGCAATGGAGATAGCAGGCGCAGCGATGGTTAGCGATAGCACAGCAATGGAGAAAGATAGCGCACCAAAGGAGATAGAAGGACATAGATGGCGCAGCGATGGAGATAGATTGGGAAAGATAGCGCAGCGATGGAGATAGATTGGGAAAGATAGCGTAGCGATGGAGATAGATGAAGAAAGGTCGGGAGAGATCGCGCACCGGTGGAGAGAGATGGAAAGAGCATGCGCAACAATGGTTAGCGATGGCGCACCGATGGAGAGAGCAGGCACAACGATGGTTAGTGATGGCGCACCGATGGAGATAGATGGTGCGCCGATGGAGAGAGTTGGCGCAGCGATGGCTAAGATTAGGTATTGCACAACATCATTTCATGTCTACCTAATGCTGATCTACGGATCAGTTCCATTATCAAAGTGACATCCATAGCGTTAAACCTTCATTAAGCATACCTGTCACTTGTTTCGTGCGATTCCACAATGATGGGCGGCTGCACCGACGGCGGCCTGAAAGAACAATACAATGGCGATGGCGGGATCGCACAGGAGTGATGGAAGCCTCTGGCGCAGGGATGGAGGTTGCCCGGTGGTCGAGCGAGAGCGCGCAGTGATGGAGTGAGATGGAGAGTGATCACTCAGCGATGGAGGGAGATCGTGCGGCGATGGAGAGAGATCGCGCAGGAGCGATGAAGAGAAATCGCGCAGCGACGAAGATAGTCCGTGATTTGCGATGGAGATAGTCTGCCATTAGCGATGGACATAGTCCGCGATTAGCGATGGAGAAGAGATCGCGCAGGAGCGATGGAGATAGATGGCGCGGCGATGGAGAGAGTCCGTGTTGGACAAAGATGACGCGACGATGGAAAGAGATGGTGCGGCTGTGGAGATAGATCACACCGCGATGGAGAGAGATGGCGCAACAATGGAGAGAGAGGGCGCAGCGATGGAGAGAGATCACGCGGAAGATGGCCCAATGAATCAGCGATAGCGATGGCCAGCGCTGCAATGGGATAACACTGGTCAGGGCTTCGATAGC